ACTACTAAGTCTGGGGAATGCAGAAACCTTGTCTTCCCTCCTTCACTGTGTAACCCTAATACTACTGGCCTGGTGTATATGTAAAGAAGGTGCTCAGTAGCCCTAGCCGGTTTGGCTCAGTTGATAGTGTGTTGGCCTGCGGACTTAAGGGTCCCGGGTTCGACTCTGGTCAAGGGCACATGCCTGGATTGCAGGCTGGGTCTCCAGGGGGGGCCATGCAGGAGGCAGCCAATCAGTGATTCTCTCATCATTGATGTGTCTATCTCCCTCTTCCTCTACCTTCCTCTCTGAAATCAATAAAAAACTTATTAAAAAAAAAAAAAAGAAGGTGCTTAGTAAATATTTTTGAATGAATGAAAAGGAAGCCAAATAAGTATTTTATTTTCTGTCGTGATGGCAGTACATAAGCAAACTGCTCACCTGAGGAATAAAAGAAACCAGTCGTATTGGCCATCAAATCTAAATAAACGATAAAGGCATTGACGGAAAGCCTGGGTTTTGTAGTAGCCCCTTATTCCTGCTAATAGTCTTCCCTATAATCAGTGCCCAGTTGCTTTTCCAAAGAGTATGCCATTTTCAGTATAGCAGATTATAATTTTTGGTCTTGGCTTTTTTGTTTATTATTTTTTATTATGAGAATTTCTTTTTCACTATGAGAGTTTTTTTAAATGGTAGCATTCTTTCTCCTAATTATAATGACAATACATGTTTCTCATTTTAGATTCGACTTCCACCTGAAGTAAATCGGATTTTGTATATAAGAAATTTGCCTTACAAAATCACAGCTGAAGAAATGTATGATATATTTGGGAAATACGGACCTATTCGTCAAATCAGAGTGTGAGTTTACTGAAACTTTCGAAATGTTTAAATAAAATGATTGCGTAATCTATAACCTTGGAATTATAGCTGACAAGGGGGCCTGAGAGCCTCCGAGGCTAATTGAAGTCAGGGAGATGGGATTTTTTTCCTTTTTTTGTTTGTTTGTTTGTTTGTTTGTTGTTTGCAAGGGGGAAATACCTACCGAGGCCCTTATGATCCAGCTCAATGAGAGCCAACTAATTGTGAAGTTACTGAGAGCATGAACAGTTTGAGGGGTCTGGAAGGGAAGGAAGAACTAACATTTATTGTACACCTGCTATTTATAAAGTCAAAAACTATACTGTTATATGCATTAACTCTAATTTTTTCAACAATCTTCACTGTCTCTTTTACTGACTGCAGAATTTCTGAATAAACTGAGTAAAGGGATATAAAAGTAACTGAGGAAAATGATTTTTTTTTTCAACTACAGCTTCCTGTGGAAGATTTAAAAGTATAGGGAACCCTTTCCCTGATCTGCTCTTTAAATTAAAATAAATATTTTTTTAAATAACTTTTTTTTTAAAGGAAAAACTCCATTCAGACATAGCTGACTAATAGGAGCCATCACTCCTCAATACTGTACTTTCCAGTGTAAGACTGAAAATTGGTTCTTAGTGTATTCTTTTTTTTTTTAAAAGTATTCTTGACATAACAGTAAGTTTAACCTATAGCTATTTCACTTAAAAACAAAAATTACCTAATTCAAGAAATTACAGGATTATCCAGCATACCCTTCCATAAGGTTTATTTCCTCTAATGGTTTTCAGGTAAATATGTGTTTAATTAAGTCTCATTCAACTCTGCAGGGGGAACACACCTGAAACTAGAGGAACAGCTTATGTGGTCTATGAGGACATCTTTGATGCCAAGAATGCATGTGATCACCTGTCCGGATTCAACGTTTGTAACAGATACCTCGTGGTTTTGTACTATAATGCCAACAGGGTGAGTATAGCACAGTTCTCGTCATGGGGGGAGCCCAGATAGGAATTGCTGCAGAACTGCACCCTTAGGGGAGATGGGTACTCTGAGCTCCTTTCTGGCTGGTGCTATTAGTGGAATTCATTTGACTATAGATTGGTAACTTAACTTTGGCACTTACCACATTTTCAGGCATTTCAGAAGATGGACACAAAGAAGAAGGAAGAACAGTTGAAGCTTCTCAAGGAGAAATATGGCATCAATACAGATCCACCAAAGTAAACTATTTCTGCATTTTTATTTTGGACTGAAAACCCATGAATCACCACCCTACCCTTTTTCGATTTTTAATTAATACTGAGTATTGCAGTTTCTTGAGGTTCAGAATTTCGTTCCTGAAACCTTGATACATGTTAGAATATATTGTTAGTAAAGTTGCAGCTTTTTGTAAAACATGTCAGTGTTTTCTCTTGAGTTTTCCCATCCTGTTTGATACTGGGGGTAGGGGTTAGGGGAATAGCAGTTGAACCATCTCAGGAATTCTGTGGGGGTGCGTGGTCCTAGGGACTGAGCTCCTTGAGCAGAGAGCTTTTTGTGTTCTTAATGCCGCCAGTGTGCAGTCCAGAGCTTAGCCATCAGGGAACTTGCGAGAGAGTCGTCATTTATTAAATGGCTATTAATAATGAAATCTTCATAATAACTCAGTGAAGGTAGTATCTCCATTTTGCAGATAAGGAAATCAAAGCTCATCATGTTGGTTGAATGAATAAAAAGCTTACATTAAGAAGTTGCTGTAACATCAGCCAGTTATTAACCATGCCAGTACATGTGAATAATACTTTACCGTTAACCAAAAGACCTTTGTTGATATGGGTGCCCTGTGTTAGAACAGAGGTCTATTCTAGAAATGGCCAAACAACAGCACATTGTTAGAAATTTGAGAGCAAGCAGCTTGGGTAGTGTTGGTTGTTTCATGTGTGAGATTTTATTAATGTAGTCTTTCTGTTTAGTTAATAAGTGTCTGTGTATATTTTGGACTTTAGTTTATAGTATATCTTTGCTATACAAAAATATGTGATGCTTATTCTTATAATCATGAGTTCTCGTGGCATGGAAATAGTATAGTTATTACCACATTCATCATAGTCTGGCAGCCTGGAGGAGTTAGCTATAATTTTCTTTTGATAGTTTAGGCATGAGCCAAATGGAAAAACATGGGCTAATTGTATATATATAAATATAAAACTATAACCCAAAACCAACTTGAAGGGTACAAGGACTAAATCATTTGACTGGACAAAGAGCATCTATTCTACTTTTAAACGCACTTAGCTTTGAAATCGATCATTACTTTAAGAAAACAGGCTATTATATCTTTTGTACTATCTTCTCAAAGCCTACTATTGAAAATGAAGAAATAATTGTCTTCTTATTATGTCTGAGTGCTTTTTGAAAGCACTGTAAGAGTCATTTCTAAGGACAGGCATGACAAAGGAGCCATAGCTGTAATTTTCTTATGAATGCTTTTGTGAATTCCATATCAATTATTGTAATGCACGATGTGCCTTTAGGTATTTACAAATGTAAAAATAATTTTCTAAAAGACATTTTTGGCCCTAGCTGGTTTGGCTCAGCGGATAGAGCACTGGCCTGCGGACTGAAGGGTCCCAGGTTCGATTCCGGTCAAGGGCATGTACCTGGGTTGCGGGCACATCCCCAGTAGGGGGCGTGCAAGAGGCAGCTGAATCGATGTTTCTCTCTCATCGATGTTTCTAACTCTATCCCTCTCCCTCTCCCTTCCTCTCTGTAAAAAATCAATAAAAATATATATTTAAAAGACATTTTTGTACAGGGAAAACAAATTAGACTTACAGTATGATGTGTCTAAGTGGCAGACTGGCTTGCCAATAGTGTAGTTGTTTTAAATTAACAAGGGGAAATTCCTATTGACAATTATGGCCAGTCCATCATTTGGTTTCATATATCTGTTGGCTGAATTTCATGATCTTAAGATTTTTTAAAATTCTCTGTAACTGTTTGGCAATTTTGTGGCCTGTCCTAGTTAAGATATAAGAACTTTAATTTAGTGGACAAATATTGAGGACCTGCTCAGTGCCAGGTCAGTGCATGCTAAGATGCTGAGGATACAGTTACAATTCACCCTCTGTACCAGACATCGAAGGCTCAGTTTTTCAAACTGCTTTTAAGGATGCAAGGAATGATTGTGTCCGTGCCAATGTATGTACACACACGTCTGCCAGAGCTGCTTTACATTCTTCGAGGTTAAATTTCTAGTTTCTGAGAAAGATTTTGTATGGCTCGAGGATGTGTTAACCAGAAGTTTGAAAATGACTGATATGACAGCTCATCGTCACTCTCCTGTTTAACAACTTTCAGTGGCTCTCTCGGGACAATGTCCAGACTTGTGAGCATACTGTATCATGATTCTCTGCATCATCTTTTAAGAGTGTCCGTAGAGCGGGGCCTGCGAAGCCTGGCATGTCCTTTCCAGGTGCTAGCCAGTAGGTATTTGCAGTTT